TTACTGAGGTGAGCTAGAGTTGGTATGCATTCATGAGTGGGACTATAAACATTGACACCCTTGAGTTTCCCTTGGCATTGAGCAAGTTCCTTGGAGGGAAAACCCCAATTTTGAAAGCTTTGTAAAACACAATCTACATCTAATGTACCATGTTAAAAATGGTAAATAATAAAGATAAATACTTACACCATTCAGTACCTCCCATACACTCAGGCTCCTCAGTGTTCTCTTTTCAGTTCTGTCATCTTCTCTGGTAACTGAAATACCTCACTCTTCTTCATCATATAATTTCCTTGAATTTTCATCTTTCATGCTTAGAAAGCAAGCTCAATGGGAACTGAGAAGTCCCTAAAGATGAGTGGAACTTACAGTCAATTAATTTTTAAAAACAGAGATTTCTTTCAGAAGTACGACCCTACAATACACAGTGCTGACAAAATGGAATCCCTGTCAAAACAGTGTGTTGTCCTCATGGGTGATGCTCACAAAACAAGCCAGATAACAACATGCTGCTTGTGAAAGACCCAAGGCCATTAGTATTTCTAACTTGACCAGCTCTCTGCTCTGGTGTCTCAAGGGGCACCATCCACCCCACCAGGCACATTGTGCTATGAAAGAGAGAAAGCAACAGCTGCCTTCCTTCCATGACAAAAGTTTATCAAATTGCTTCCTGATGCCATTTAACAGCACAGTCACAGAAGCAAAGTGCTCCTAGTGAAAATCGAGTTTCACTGTCAGGTGCCACAACATTCCCATTCCAGCATTAAAATCCCTGCAATCATTTTGACTTGAAGGACATGTACCATTAGATATGTCTTGCAGCATTCAGATATTCCCCAAGAACCATTATATCTAGGACCTCTTTCACCTAGGACTGCATGGCTGGAAATTGTTGTCTGCTGGAAGTTGGCTAGAGAAGACCATAGCATTATTTATCTTCTTGAAATTAAGCAGATAAAGCTGAAAACCAGGACATAATTAAAAGGTAAGTAAAAAATTTTCCTCTAAACCTCTGATCTAGCTTAAGGCAAGGAAATTCAGGGTATTTGCATATGATGCACTCAAGAAAAGAAATTCAAGTCTTACCACACATCTTAGCCTTTTTTAAGAATGATGCAAGTCTTCCTTTAGGAAAGAAAAATGAGGAATCCACAAAGCTTTTCACCAAAAAATCCCCAAAAAACTTTGAAGTTACTTGGCAAAAAAACAACAGAGAAGGAAAGAACTTGCCAAGCCACAAAAGCCAACAGCCATTAGTCAAGTGCACCAGTGCTCTTTGGTGACATGCAGCTTGTCAAAGTAATGTTTGCTTATGAGAAATATGAACACAGGGTATTACTGACCTGTTCAACCTGTTCACTTCAAATACAGCACAGGGCAGCTTGGTTTGACATTACAAAGAACTCTGACACTCTTTACAAGATCTGTAAGAATCGAGTTCTCTTGTTAACAAGCTGTGAGGAATTCAAGCAAAAATATGTCAGGGGAATCAGACATCACCTTTCCTCCTCATTCAAAATATTTGGAAGTTATTTGCTTAGTGATTGTCATGATCACAGTTCTGACAATTGGCATTTTCTTCCACGCACAGTCTAACACTTCTATAGAAGAACAACACATTTTCAGTTGTATTTCTTCTCTTACTACCAACAGTACTATTTTAAGTCATAATCCCCAAATAAACATTACTGGTTTTCTTACTACTGTAAAATAGTGGAGATTATTAGAAAGAAAAAGACAGTCAAACCAAACACACAGATTGGAGTGGAACTTACTGCACGCTAATAATTCTACTTCATTGAAAGATCTTATTTTTCCATGTAGGAATGCCATTTATGTTTGACTCACAACACTCAGCAAGCAAGGTCTCCTGCTGCTGCCAATGGCACTGGGTTTTGCCCCTGCACATGGTAGGGCTCCTTGTAGATATGTGCCTGATGGCTGACAAGAGGGAAGACAAGCTTTGATCATGACAGCTCTGGCAGTTTGTTGAATTCTTCAGTGGTAATAGCATTTCCACGTTGGTGTCATCCACCTCTCCTGAAAACAGGCTCCTTTCTGCAAATCTCCCAGGTTATCAAGAGCAAAAGTGGCACAGGCTTTCTCCCAGGCAGATCAATTCTAGAAGAAAAAGAACCTTTTCCAGAATGGGTCAGTGAGTTGCACATTGATCCTAGAAAACACACATGGGATGATCCTGGATTGACTATAACTTGACTGGAACCTGGAACAATTTTCATGTGCAACAGTTGGAGAGATTTTTTACAACATTCAGAAATGGTCTCTCCGCTCCTACAGAAATGTGCAGTAGTAGTGTTCATTTGTCAGACAGAAGAAAAAGTTGGGTAAACACTGAGAATTTCTGAAATCTCACCTTAGGAAGTTTTTACATACCAGGATGCAGCCATCTGGTTGACAGTATAAATGAAAAGAAAAAATTTGTACAGTGAAATATAGTGCAATAGAAATCAAAGGATGCAAGAACAGTAATCTACAGTATTACAAAGATGCTATGCAGGAAAGAAATTCCTTGGCATCTAGAAACTATGCCTCAGTGTCTCAGTTATAATACTCCTACATTTTAACTACCGGGATCTCCTGATCTGTAGGTAACTCATAAGCATGTGCTGTTTGTTCAGGGCTTATTAAATTTTGAACAACGTGACTACTGATGAATCAGTGTAATTCAGTGCAGTACAGTGCCAAGTAATTAATAATACAGTGCAGATCTCCTTTAATCCCTTCCCAAAATTTAACCATTATTACAGATAGATCAGTGCAAAAGTATTTCTTCTATGTACAGTACCAATTAAATAAGTGATTTTCCATAAGAAACTGTCCAAAGCAATAAAAGTATTCTAATGCTATTGTATAAATTCTAGTTCCTTCTTCCTTTGAATGCTATGCTTTGTCCTAGATTATCAAATGGAGTTCCGAAGCCATTAATGAGCACCTTTCACTGGAGCATGTAAGTATACTTTGTACTTCTGAAAAGTCACATGGACATTCATATAAAAAAAAGTAAACAAAACTCCAAAATGAGAAAACAGTAACTGAAGGCTTAGAGACTTTTAGATGAGGAACAATTGAAACTTGCTTTTATTTCACTCTGCAGATGCAACTACATACATCAGCAAGACTGTATAACAGTGATCAGCACAAAAATGTTCTCTGAAAATTTTTAAGGAATAGAGACTTTCACAATACAATGAGGTATGCATAAAATAAGTTTACAAAATTAAGAATTACAGAGCTACAGAGAAGACTAAATTACAGAATGCTTGCTGAAAAGATATTACGGAAACACAGCTGTCTACCAAGTTTTCCTCATTTTAAGAATAGTACTCTCACTTAGGTTAGGTAAAGGAAAAGTTTGACTGTCTGCAGGGAACAGCCTATGAGTCGTCTGGCAGCGGAAGGAAATCCCTGACACGTACATCCATGTGCTACTGCAAGTGGAAAAAGAGGTAGGCAGGAGTTCCCTCCCTGATGTATCTGCCTGCCTCTGATGGTTGTGCAAAAGCAAATACCAGGCTTTGAGCTCATCTGGCCTGGCTGTTTTAATCCTTTAGCATATTTCAGTTGGATCTTTTCATTGATAATAGTCAAACATACTGCTAGTGACATGCTTTCTTCTATGCCTAATGCCACAGACCTGACATTACAGCAAATACTGGTCTGGCAATATCCCTCCTGCTGCACTTGGGGACCTGGGCAGAGATGGATTGCTGCTGTTGAAAACTGCTCTCTCACACTTGTGTTCCAGCTCTAATATCTCTCCACTGGATAAACTTACCACAGCTGCTTTTCTGCTACTGACAGAAAGAGACATTAAATAAAAGTCAGTAGCACCTTGCTTCTTTCCTGAGGCTCTCTTTTCAGGCTGTGCTTAGAAAATGAAGTATCTGGGGTATTTTTCAGTTTCTGCATTGTCTCTAACACCTCTCTTATGCCCCATGTTCTATTCTCCCAACTCTGTACTCTCCTGTTAGGAGTTCCCAATGCAGCCTCTGATTTTTCTTAAGTGAGAAAACATAACCAACTTCATACTAAAGAAAGGAAAAAAAAAAAGGAATTTGGCCAAAATCAGTTCAAGACATTCCACAAGTTCAGTGTCAGCATGCCTTAAACAGTTTGACTCAGCCTGCATTCTGCAAGATTGATCCCAACAGGCACACTTGCCCTGGGTCCCTGGGTGAAGAGTCCCCCTGAAAGGTTAAAATTCCTGCAACAGCTACCAGGTAGGCAGAAAGAGATAAGGCAGCAGATAACAAGGAACTTCGTGGCATTTCCTGCAGCCACCCCCCCCCCCCCCCCCCCCCCCGTAGGAGCTGGCTTTGGTCCACTTAAAGTATTTGATGTATCTAATCCCACCCACATGTAGTTCACTCAGATGTAACTTGCGACTTGTACTACCCAGCACCTTAACAGGTTTATTTTCACATATACAATTAATAAAAATAGCTAAAATACAGAGATAAATATACACCATACGAAATCCATAAACCATTAAACCACGTTAAAATATTAAAACATACAGAAGTGTATCGCATCTATTTAGTATGCGTGTATATAGGCAGGTAAGCATGTATAATTTCCAGGAGGTTTTGTGCGGCTGGAGCTGGCAGGCTCCGAGGAAAGCCGAACCGAGGGGCTCCAGCCACGGCCGGGTCCCCGCGGGGCAGGTGAGCCGGCGGTGGATGCGGGGAGCAGCCCGGGCCTCAAGGAGTTACGAAGGACGATTACTTCATGTTCGCACCGCGCTTTCGGCCGCCCCCCCGGCCCGTTTCACAATCAGAGCTCTCGACGAGCCCCTGTCAAACCGCTACGGAGAGTACACACCCCTCCTCGTCTGGGCTTCATTGTCGGATTTTCCCCGGCCATGAATAATCTCGAAGCCCCCTCAATAAATACACATTCAGAGATGCCTGGAGCTCATTCAACTCGCCAGCCTCGCCAACGACGAGGGGCCAGGGCCGGAGCCGAGAAGAAGCCGTACCATGAAGTTTCCCCGGGACTGTGGCTGCGACCGTGTCCGCGCCGGCCGCCGCCGGCCGCCCGCCCTCCGCGCCGCGCTGCTGCTGCCGCCGCCGCTGCTGCTGCTGCTGCTGGTGCCGCGGGCCGCCGCCGCCCCGCTGCCCAGCGCGGACTCCTCGGGGGAGGCCGAGCTGGAGGAGGCGGCGAATCGGCGGGCGGTGCTGCCCAACAGCCTGAACCTGGCGCGGCTGCTGCACGACCGGGCGACACAGCTGCAGAACGAGGTGGGTACGGCCGCACCGCGGGCAAGCACACGCTCGCTCGCTCGCTCGCTCGCTCACACGGCTGGCCCGGCCGCCTCCTGACAAGGTGCGACCAAACCTCTCCGTGTCTCTCCCCAGATGTGCGAGAAGTTTACCGTCTGCCAGAACAGCGTGGAAATGCTCCTCCAGAACAACCTCAACCTCCCCAAGGTGACGGAGAAAGATGGGTGTCTGCTCGCCGGCTTTAATGAGGCAAGGAACAGCTCTCCTTTCCCATCTAATCCTGTATACCTGGGGCAGGTTTTACCTGCTCAAAAGAACTGTGGAAGTTGACCTAAAGATTTGTGCCGGCTCTAGCTGGCGTTGGCCAGACCTCCACACTATAGAAGCATCATCTGCTAACCTGCACACACATTGAGATCAAGGCACCTTGAACTCCAAATGACTTTCTTACCTTTCTCTCATTTCAGGATAAATGCTTGAGAAAAATCTCCAGCGGGCTTTATACATTTCAGACATACTTCAAATACATACAAGAAACTTTTATAAGTGAAAACCAAAATGTTAAATTGCTATCCTATAATACAGAGCGCCTGGCACATATCATAAAACAGATGGTGAGTTGGTTTTAAATTCCCTCTCATGATTTTTGTGGCTTAATACTGATGTGAAGTCAGAAATAGAAGATGCTATGTGAAATAGAGGATGCTATGTTTCAGTTCCTTGAAAAAACAGGTGACAGTTCCTTATGGTCAGATCTTACCTTTATGACTTCGAGGTTTTACAAAGTTTTGCTTTCTTTTCTTAAAGAAACAACTCTTCTTCCTACTTTCTATTGTTGTAATTTCCAAACCACCAAATGCATCATTGTTTTAAGAACAAATATACTAAACTAGCTGATAGAAAGATTTCTCAGAGAGCTTGTTTATAATTGCAGAACTGCAATTCAGCTTGTACTAATGTTGGAACCCACTGAGAAGTAGAAGTCAGCAACTTTTTTTTAAAGCCCACATTAAAAATAAAAAAAAAGAAAGAAAAGAAAAAGCCAAGTGTATTTTTACAATATTATTTATCTTTAAAACTCTCCAAACCAAACTTCTAAGCCAAGCTGTATGGTATATTGAGATATTGCTGTCAGTATATCAGATAGCTCCCTACTGAAAAACACATATTTTACTTGCAAAAGATCTTCTTTCACAAAAATACCAATTTCTCTCTTGATTTGGTAAACTAAAATGCCATTAACTTCTGACAGACATTTTTCATGTTTTGGAGAGCTTTGAAAGATCACACTTCAAAAATTTACTTCATTCATGTAGTTCTTGCTCATTTTAATAATCCTTAATATGAACACTTCCTTTTGTCTTTGGTGAAAGCATTTGCCTGATTAAAAATCACCCAAGTAAGGACTGCAAAAGTTTTGGGGCATTATTTCCTTCCAGGCAATTTTCAGCATGTGAAAAGCCTATTGTGCATTGTGCGTTTGCCATACCTTTCCTAACATATTTACTTATGCCCATCATTCTTTATGTGAAAGGAAGCTGAGGTGCTTTTTTTCACACTGTGCTAGCTGAGAATAATAGTCCTGTCATAAGACAGCAACTGATTACTGGCTTCCAGCTTGATACATGAAAGTATTTGCAGAAAGTTTGTTTCATAACTGAGAGACACTAGGTTTGTTGGGTTTAGGGCTTTGGATTTTATTTTTTTTTTTTTTTGACCAAGGTAATCAAAACAGGCAGAATTAAACACAGTGACCAAAAAGCAAAACCTGCACTTGTAGAAACTGTGGAGTTTTTGAGAAAAGGCCATGAACTTCAGGTTGGAAATTTTTCTTTGTGAGAGACGAATCTGCTATTTAAGGGAAAGACAGCAAAGCCCTTATCCATCACTTATGGTTAAACAGATCCACCAGCATGATACCTGTCTGGATATCCAAACTTTAACAGAGCACAACAAAGAGCTGGGCATACCAGGAAAAGTGGGTGTGATCAGAACACACTCTCAAGTAGTCTGGATAGGAAGAATATTTCTGTCTTATATTTCACAAAAAAGATGTTCCAGAAGGAGGTTTGCATCTTTTTGCCACTTGTTAAAAGGTAGGAGTGACCCTAAACACAGGATTAAGCAGATAGTTGCTAGAACTTTGGACTCCACCTAAAACAGCTCCATGATTTGGGTATGTAACTCCTGTTTTCAGAAGTCCCACTTCTTGGGACAAGTTCTTCAAAGGCCTTTAGGTACTGGGTGCACAGTGCTGTGAGTCAGCATTAGATAAATAACGCATTAGATAAATAACTTTTACTCATCTTGTAGTTATGCTCTCACATATCAGTGAAAGTTGGTGGCACTTAGTCTCACATGTGACTAAATGCCTGGAAAGTAAGAATTAAGCAGCTAAACAAGTTTGACATCTTTGGAAACTTGTTAATCTGTTATATAAAATGTGAGAGTACTCCAATGTCAGCCGATTAACTTATGACTCAGGACGGAGCAGTGCAGGTTAGAACAAACCATGATCAGCATCTCCCTACCTACCCAGCCACGTGACTGCCAGAGAGCAGGAGGGGTGTATTGATCTGCTCAGAGCCTGTCAGACCACAATGACAGAGGTATTCAAACCATAACACTACAGCCCAGATTCCTACGCAGCAGTCATAGCAGGCACCAGCATTCCTCACACCTCTGCACAGAAACAGGGCTGGAGGAAAGCACAGTCCCAGGGAGGGCTGTTGTCTGCAGTACAGAAAAATGGAAAAGTGCAGCAGGCTGGGAAAATACAAACGGATGCTCTCCAACAGGCTCAGTGACAGTGCTTTAACCAAGGCCCCCCAATATTGTCTTTCTCACAGGTGATCAATCCTGAAGAAGTGATCATCCCAGATGCAGCTACCCAGGAATCCCTCCACACAAAGCTGAAGTCCACTTTCTGGACAGAGAAAATCACCATCCATCTCATCCTCCGAGACTTTACTTCATTTATGGAGAAGACAGTGAGGGCTGTGCGCTATTTGAAAAACACCAGGAGTTTCAGTGCTTGAATGTTTTAGTTCAGGCACAATCCTTTGGTTACAAATCTGTCAGGTGGCAGATAACAGTGTTGTTCTGTTTTAAGAACTAGAAATAGTAACAATGGTTGGCATCTATATACATTCCCATTTCCTTTTAGGAACTTATTTATTGTATTTAAAATATTTATTAGTTTTTAATATTTCTTATTTATATTTTCAATATTTAGAAATAATTTAAACAAATTATGTATTTTATTTCCTTTCTAATGGTACTATTCAGATACAGACTTATTTAATATGTATTCGAAAAAATATTTTCAGAACCCAGAAACATTTTTGTATAACTTATGTTTTTATACATTCGAGAGATGGTATTTATGACTTTTTTATCTTTTTAAGACAAATAAAAGCCGATTTTTAAAAAACGCTTGTATAACCCCTGTGAACTTTAAATAAGACTAAAGCACTCTAATATATCCAGCTTTTAATACCTGCAATTATCAGAATAACCACTTTCAAGAACTTCCCTGTATGATTAGGCCAGTTCTCTACATAGCACATATGTACACACATAGACAACTTGATTACCATATAATTCTTAAAATGGGATATGAAGGAACCAGATGCACTGAAAAGGGCACTTAAGAATGAACAAGATAAATCATCAATGCTCCTGAGAAACAAATGGAAAAGCGCCTTATATTTAATAAGGAACACCCAATAAAATTGTTTGTAAGGATCTTCTTACAAGTCAAATAGTCTCTTTTAAATAAATAAAGTGGTGAGACAACCACATTAACCACTTTGACATGAATACTACCCTATGATTAGTTTTATTGCTGTCATCCAGGGGAATTTTCCAAGTTTGGTTAAACATTTCTGGCTCCTACTGCAAGAAGTAAAAAAAAGAAATTTAGGTTATTTCCTTAAGCAATATAAATCAACATATTGCTGCTGAGCAATGCAGCAACATGCATTTGTCTTTTATAATTTATATTTCACTAGTATGGACAAGCCACATACCATGAATGCATATTCTTGTGTGAAAAAAAAAAAAAAGCCAAAACAGAACAGGACTCAAGCCTGAGTACCAAACCACTGAAACTTTCCTTGGCTGCATCATCTGCAGCACTGTAGCTGTGCAGGCACCTCATATACCCAAACTCAGAGGAATTCACAGACCACACAGGGGATGCAGGTAGCAGAAGTCCCTCAAGCTTTGTCCCTACAAATGGTAGATTATTAATTACCCTCACTTTTCCTTCTGGCACAGTGGTGAAGATGCACAGATGAAAGGCATGCCTTGGAATGTGGATAAGGATGTCAGCAAACTCTCCTCTTCCTCTGAGTGATCTGATTGTCCATGTATGCATTCCACCACTGGGGATGCCAAAACAGTGACCAGTCCACCCACTGCTCACATCTCAAGATGCTCAAAACAAAACAAACCACTGCTTTGCCCAATATGGTAAAACTGTCATCTCAAGTTGAGCAACATCTGGAGAAGGAATGAGGAGATCTCAAGGAGATCTTGAAAGATGTCTGTGGTGAATGGGTTTTCTAACAACATGTAAGATCCTACTTTAACTGTCCTGGCACATGCTCAGGAAACATAGGAAAGCCTGGCTTGGCCTTTTCACTGTTTATATTCACAGGAATTTTCTTTTAGTGACCATTTGTCTTTACTATGTCAATAATAGCTAAAAGACCCAAAGTGGATCCCACACCGTACCTAACATGTGAGAACAGAGGGAGGGGGGAAAAAAAGGAAACCATCTCCTGGTTTCACTTCTCCCAGTAGAGAGTGGCTTCCTGAGATCACCATTAGTTACTATGTACACTGCATCTAAACAAACTCACACTGATCTCCTGAAACACCAAAACTGGTGTAAGAATTGGAGTGCTGAAACCCCTTGCAACTGACAGACAAGCACCCACACTTCAACCCCCACCCTGCAGCTGATGGCTACCCCAGGCTGTCTGCAATTCCAGTAAATATGTAAATGCTGCCACGTTTTAGGGTGCAGAAGATGAGCAGAGATTACCACTTGTTGGGTGAGGAGGTCAACTTTCAAGTCCTTCCTGGAGCAGTGTTATCCCTGATGGTGTCACTGAGCTGCCATTATTTCATCTGTGGCTCCTCCACAGCTCTCAGGGTCCTTCAGTGCAGCAGCTGCCTTGCTGGCCATCAATCTCCTGTCACAGTGGCAACTTCAGGGACTGCTCCCAGGATCAGCACCACCTGCTGAAACCAACACTCACTGGTGCTTCTGACACACAAATATTTCCAGTAGGGAATTGAGATGAAATCAGAGAAGACCTAAACACTGCTGAGCATGTTATAGGGCCCCTCAAATGAACCAACTTACTCTTTTTCCAGTTTGCTGTGTAGAAACTATTTTATATCAGTAAAACACACAAAAGCATTTATTTTAGTTGGCAGACCAGTACAAACACATAAAAAACCTAGAACAATAGTAAAAAGTGAGCAATCCTAACTACACTCGGCAACAATGCCTCAACACTTCTATTGAAGAGAACTCATCCTAACTGACAGCCAACTCACTGAGCAAAGAAAACTCAAAAAAAAAACCAGAACAACAAAAAAACCTCCCACTAACACAACCCAAATTAAAAAAGACCTGCTAATAATGACCTAGAAAAATAGGAAATTACCCACCAAAGCAGCATTTTGGCTGCTGCTGTACAGGACCAGCCTCACCCTGCACATCCCAGCTAGCCTTTCTGCACATTTCCATTCATCCTTAGTCGTTAACCTCACACTGAGATTCTGGAATGCTTCACAGATGACCAGCTCCCTTCATCCTGATTTTAAATTCCCAAAGAAGGAAGAAAGTAAAGCTATGTTGAAAAGCATGCATACATTATACAGTATGCAAGGAAAGCCCACAGTATTCAGAAACACTGTTTAAGATGAGAAACAAAATATCCCTAAGAGGAGCTGCCATAACACCAAAATGCTGGACAAGAGAGAAAAAAACCAAAACAACTTCCAAAAAAACAAAAAGACAGCATGCAACCTAAAATTAAAGTCATCTGTAATAGAAAACTGGGGGGGTGGGGGTAAGGGATAGTCTCTGAAGTACCATTTTTTAAATTTTTAACCATACTTTACTGTGTGAGAAACTTCTAAGGAAAAAAAAAAAAAAAGAGGAAAACATTTCAGCCTGACCAGCTTCCCAGGTTGCAGTACCATTCCCTACCTGGTATTGGTGTAAACACTAAATTTTGGCAGAGAGAACAACTACTTGAATGAGACTGCATGCATCTCTAGTGCCTCCACAGATTTTACCAACAGCTGATGGTGAGATTAGCTAAACCAAGCTGAAGCTACAAGAGATGGAAGAGTTATGCCATCAGTAAAGCATGGCAGCAGCAGCACTTTTCAGCAGTAATGAGTCAATAGGTCAGCTTAGCTTGATGGCAAACTTCCCCCTATGGCTGCCATTGTTATTTGTAACTAATAATATTTTCCAATTTCAATTTCAAAGATAAAATGATGGAAAGGTAAGTATGCACTAGTATACATCAAAGTCCTCATGGTCAAGGTATTAGCAAAAAAAAAAACCCACCATATACATATATATATATATATATAAAACTAGAAACCTTGTGACTAAGCCCTTGCTTTTCAAGTCAAATGATTAGATAACAATTTCTGATCTCTCTCAATTAATTTCTTTCCTCTTCTTGATAATGGGAAAACAAAACCCACCTACTCCCTTACTCTCAAAAAATGCAACCTCTGTAGGGTTCAACCTTGAAGTACTACCTCCATGAATTACTAGCAAAATCAACCAATTTCTGTAATTAATCAGATTAAACCAAACCCTCCTATATTTTCAAGACTGATTTTGGCAGTCAGCAGAAAAAACTCTACAAAAATTTTGCAATCTGGATTTCCATTCAGTGACCAGAATCTAAGATTGCCTTTCCTGAGAAAATAATTCCTGAGAAAATGTTTAAAAAACCAAACAAACATTCACAATCAGAATCAAAACAAAGTGAGATTTGATTTGTCCTGCCATATGCTTTTTCACACAGCAGATAAACATTCCCTCCATCTAACCCATCCTCTAATCCTGAATTAACATAACCATGACCAAGAAACAATGTATGTAACCCACAAGCTTAACCAAGAAATGGCTATTGCATCACACACCATCATGGAAAAGTATTTAGAAATTGCAATTAAGTCATTATTTGTAAAAAATAAATAAATCATATGACATTTAACAGGATGTGGTCTCTCCTCCTGTGGTGAAAACAGATGTAATAAGCTTTAATTTCCACATATCATCAGTACCATCATAGCTTAAATTCCAAGACTGTAAGAAAATATTTCCAAAAGCATCCAGAGTATATACAGTTTGATTTAGCAATTCTCCTGATAAAAACCATTATGTTAGATGTGGGTTTCATTTACCACACAATGCAAGAAGATGAGATGTTAAGCAGCTCTTTGTCACCTACAGCCATTTTGGAAGACAGCTGTACAAAATAGCAAAAGACAACTTTTATACTTCACCAAAATGGGCCTGTTGTGACAAAATTCTGAACATTGATTCAGTCTGCACACTTTATGTGTTTAAATGTTATAGTTCAGCCAATAGGTGCGTTGCTGGTGAATTCACTCAAGGAAAACAAAAAAACACACAGCCTGTTTTATATCTATGAGATACACCAAAGTTACTTTGTACCAGTTGTGTCTACACCAGGAATTTGTAGCAAAATTAAAAACCTATTACAAATTCCCAATCACCTTAATTTTGCCTCAAAAGTGGCCAGGCCTTGAAAAGTTTATGGAGCACGCAAATTCCGTTGTAGATTAAATTATTAAGAATAAAATTATACTGAAAGCCAGATGGTTTTTTTTCCCTTTAGTGATGACTCTAAACTGACCATCCTTTTTCTACCCTCCTAAGCAGGATGTCCACAGTCCATGCACCAAGATCAAGAAAACCACCAAACTCACAAGACTCCCTCTCTGTCTCTTGCACAATTGCTTG